CACAGTAATACATCATTTGTAGATCTGCAGGTCACATGACAAAAATATATCAACCATTTTTACTGGTATTTTCTTTTGCTAATGCTTTTCTTTTTTTTGAGTGTGCTCTTTGATCATAATAGATTAATAGCCTTTTGGCCTTATAATTTTTTATATTATTAGTCAGTAATTGAAATAAAAATTCATTATTATATTTTCAAGTTCTTCATCAAAGTATGGATACATTTTTTCAAAGTCTTCTTCAGATAAAGCTCCTCACGAGCTGGCTTGCGAGCTGGCTCATGCGGAGCCTTATCTTCAGATCACTATTGTCCTAAAAAAGAAATATTTAATTAATCATTAAGTTATTTATATTTTCATTATCTAGTTTTTTTTTTTTTTTGCTTTTCTTGATTTGACTGCACAGAAATTTTTTAAGTGCCAAGTTCTCTCTTTTAATTCCAACCACTTTAAATATTTAAAGATTTTTATTAGAAGAAAATTTTGACAGAAAAATATTTTGTGGTATTTTACTTCATAAACAAAATTGATTAGAATTATGGGGGTCAATTTCAAGTTGCACTAAACTTATTTAAAAAATTCCAACGCTTTTAACTATATAGAATAATTGATTTATGTTGGTTACATGAAAATTACCTGAAATAATTAATTCGCAATTCGCGATAAACGGGATATATTCATTTTAATAGTAAAATAATAATAATAAGAAAATTAATTAACAGTCAGAATCTTGAATTGTTTTTTAATTGTAGAAATTTAAATGGCAAAACGTCCCACTTTAACTGTAAATCTTGTTTCAGTAGGTGAAATAAAACCACATTCACATTATGAGTTAAATGCAAGAGAATGGAGAGTAAAATGAGATACAACTAAATTGATTTACTACGTATTGAAGTCTTTAAAGCATTTTAATTTAGTAAATTTAATTAACACATATTTGGTTTGTTATTAATTCTTATTATATTTAAAAATATAATAGTTTTATCGAAGATATATAACAAATATAACAGCTGATTTATAATGAGCAGACAGATATAAGGTTTTTGAATAATATAATTAGAATCATTATTTACATTTTATTAAATCTAAAACATATTAATTGGGAGTATGAATATATTTAATGTATATCAAATATTCTTTATTAATTACTAAAAAGAATCTAAATTTGAAGTAGGTGGTACTCCATTTCTAAATGTTGCCAATGCGATGTTCCGTAGTATTCCCAATTATTTATTTTAAATTAATTTTTCTTAAAACAATTTTTTTATATCCTTTAGAAAAATGGCCATTATAATAAATTCGGCAAATCCTTTTCAAGACAAGATTGTGAAAACCAACATACAGAGTGTATCAATAGCTCCCCTGATTTTGTATAACAAATCTTTGTAATAATGGTTTCAAATAGTCCAATAATACCCTTGAAATTGATTGTATTTTGAAAAAAAAGCAATTCTTAAAAAAAAGTCATTAGATAATAAATAATAAAATGCTTTATTGACAGTGGAATAAATTGATTCGAACTTAATACAAGTAATAGAACATCAAACCTACCTCACAAAAAAAAAAATTTAAACCTCTGCCAACAATACTTTGATGCAGTTGAAAATCGAATAAAGCTTAATAAAGAAATATTTATATAAAAATTAATTACATATAAAATAAACCTATCTTTCGAAGGAAAGCGCGAAGGGATATAAAGTCATACCAAACTTTCTTTATCCTTTGTTGTTTTAATCTGAGTGGATCTAATTAGTTTTAAGAATTCGTGCGCTTGAAAAAAGGGTAGGCACTTTCTTCCTTCTTTTTTTTTTCTATATATACCGTTTAACAATGTTTGCACAACATCTACCAGGTCCATATAAAAATTAAGATTGAGGCGGGTATCGAGCGTGGGGTTCCTTTAGGTTGGTCAATTTAATTTTCAGTTATGTAACTGTAAATTCATTTTCACACATAATATTCATCAATTAATAACTTATTCGTCAAGGATCTAACTAATCGTTAATCTCAAACAAAATTTAACTATTAATTATCATTACAACAACATACGTTGGATTTCAGATTATGGAAAATAATTTATCATGAAATGACTAATTTTATTAAATTAAATTATAAACAAGTTTACAAATGGGGAGGCAAAATGAGACATCGAGATTTTCATTTACGCTTTTGAATTCGGCATAAATCGTCATTCAAAAGCTCGATTAATAGTGCATTAAATGTGCTGTGCCGAGTGTCAAATTTTCATAAATAAATTTTTTGTTCAACAAATAAACATAACATGTTTGACTAATTTTGATGTTCCGAACTAATATTAGAAATTTCTGTATTACAAATTCTTATTATTATTATTATTATTATTATTATTATTATTATTATTATTATTATCGAATTATTCGAATTATTCGAATTATTCGCTTATTCGCTTATTATTATTCGTTTATTCGAACTCGAAATTATTCGTTTTATTCATTTATTCTAAATGTAATTCGAATATATACTCAATTTCATAATAATAATAATAATAATAATAATAATAATAATAATAATAATAATTCAAAATGATTGAGTCATGTGTTTCTATAATATCATGACACCAGAATATCATTGCTATTTTTAGATTTTAAACAACTGGCACTCGGCTATATAGTACTAATAAACCTGCATAATACACATGATAAATAAAATATGAAATAATTGTTGAGCACATGAATAAAAAAATATGACTTTAAATATTTATTAATTCCTGCTACCTCTGTTCCATGCGGGAAATTTCGTGGTTGTTTGTAAAAGGAAATGGTTTATATTGTAAAGTTCGGCATTCGTGTGACTTTCAATCCATATATTAATATAAACTGATCTGTTTAACACCCGTATGGCCCGTAAGTTTTGACGGATGACCCAACCTCTAGCTTGTTGATAATTTTAAGCTCATTTATTGGTTTCAAAGGAAAATTATCAGTTTTATATAAAATGACTTTTTTAAAAACCAAAGAATATTGTAATAGTATGCCATATAAAATTTCACGAATGAAAAAATACTTTTATAAACATTCACAAACATAATTTAAGAATATAATAATCAAAGGATATTTTTTTTTAAAAAAAAAATGTAAACGCAATAAAAACTATAGTGCGCGAATCAACAAAACCTAGATTTTCACAAACTGTGTTTTTATGTGTAATTAATAAAAGACAATAAAAATAAAAACTAATGGAGGGTTTTTTTTATTGCTCAAGTTATAAAAATCAAAATTTACATGAATATTCATCAAAATCTAAGCTACATACAGTATAAGTTTAATGGGCTATTGTTATGTATGTTTTTGCGTAATCAATAAAAATAGTTTCTCTATCGGTGGTAATCAACCAATTAATTTGAACTTCGAATAAAGGATGAAAACTACCAACCTCACTCATTTTTCTGAAGGACAACTAAAAGTTTAGTGGTAAATTAATCTAATAAAAACTAAACAGAGAAAGGTAAATATAACAAACCCGACTTCGCCAAAAAGCATCGACAAACTTTATAGCTTTTGAGTGCTGACAACTCATCACTACTTAAAGCAAGCCTTGTTGTATGTAATTGTAGTAATTTTTTTTTGAAGAAAGAAAAAATATAAATGCTATTGAAATGTCTAAATGATTAAATGATATTAAAACATGCTCTTTTCAGATTAATAACAACCACGGTTCAATTATTTAAAAAATCCAAATAAAATTAATATAGTAATAAAACAATATATTATTGTTTTTTAAAGTTGAAGCAAAAAAAAAGATTAATTCACAAATTTTATTATTATGTTTATAAAAAATTGTTACATAGCAATTCCGAGAATGATAAAAAGAAATGAAAGCGTATACACAATTAATAAAAAAGCATTCCCAACCATATAGCAGCCCAGAATATCATAAATACTGCTTGATGAAGAATATTGATTCAATATAAGGAACAAAGAGTTCATTAATGGTGTATCTTTCAAATAGTCAGACATTTTGACATCAATTTAGACATTCAACATCAATTGGACTTTCGACAAATATTTAGAATTTCAACATGTTTTGGCATTACGGCAAATCAAGTGACCTTTATGTATATATTTTGACAATTGAAATACCTAATACTAAATGTTTATCAAAGATATATATACGTTGGTGTAACTTAGTTTTTTGATGCATATGCAAATAGACAGTATTTGAAACAAAAATTTCATAATATTAGACTCTATTAAAACGATATCTTGTTTCTTATTGTTATATTAATTAGAATGATGGACATGAATTTATAATCGTCACTGCCATTGCTGTTATACGATTTTTTATTTATTTATTGTGTCGTAATTAATTTTAACCTCTTTCAACGAATCATTCGACCTTATTATTTAGATTCCTGTAAATAGATAATATGAAGTAATGAAGTTGACAACTAAAAAATCATATTTTATTTGTTGTATGTATATAAAATGGAACCATTTGTACATTTGTAAACTCCGGAACTATAAATTAGAGTGCGTCACTGTTATTATCATTATGCGAATAATTTCTGCGTATAATTTCCAAATTTGGCTAGAACCATAACAATAATAGACTCTTTTAAAAGTCAATGCCGAGACTTGCTAAAACTATCGCTCAGGGTCATAGTGTAGCACGGACTTTTTAAAGGAAAAAATATATCGCATTGAATTTTTTAAATTAATATTAAGGGGATCCCAAATAAAAATGCTTATTCGGCTAATGACTTTTTATTTGTGTTGCACGATAAATGACATGACGAAATGATGATCCTTCCTTTCGGTTTTTAACTTTAATTAAAAATAACAATATAAAAAAAAGCTTATTATTATCAATGTATTTATATATATATATAGCAAGAAAGCCAACAAGTAAAATAACTTTTATTAATAATAACCAAGACTTATTCGTTTTTTTTTTCAAATTAAAAAAAACAAAAAAAAACAAACAACTAAAATTCATTATAAAATAAATTTTTTTTTGAAACAATGTCTATTAAAATTAAAAATAAGAATGATTACCTTGCAACATTTAAAATTCTTCTTATTGGTAACTCAAACGTAGGAAAATCATCTCTTCTATTAAGATTTACTGATGACACATTTTTACCACATGATGAGGTATCAGCAACAATAGGTAATTATAAAACAAACCTAGGTTTATCTTAAATAAACGATTATTGATTAAAATGATTATATAATAGGGGTGGATTTTAAAGTGCATGAAATAGTCGTAGACGAAAAGAGATATAAATTAACAATTTGGGTATTTGTTTGATTAAAATATTTTCAAGTAAAATTTGATTGTTTTTGTTAAAATTTTATTTCTCTATATTTAAATAACAATTATAATTATAATTATTGTGAATATTAATATTAGGATACTGCAGGTCAAGAACGTTTTAGAACACTAACATCTTCATATTATCGTGGTGCTCAAGGTGTTATATTGGGTATGTGGTAGATATAACACACACACACACACACACACACACACACATACATGTATGCTATATTTGTGTGTATGACTTATTTAATGAGATTTATAAATCATTAATATTTTCTTTTTTCTAGTTTATGATGTATCAATTCGTGAGACATTTGATCAATTGGATAATTGGCTTAATGAATTAAATACCTATTGTTCAAATAAAAATATAGCAAAAATGATAATTGGTAATAAGATAGATAAGGTAACAATAGATAGAATAAATTAAAATTATTAATCATTGATTTTGATAATGTGTAATGATTTATTTCATTTTAATATTTTTATCCATTTTGAATTTTGAATTATGATTTATGATTTAGGAAGCTGGAAGGGCAATTTCACGTAAAGAAGGTGAAGAATATGCAAAAAAATTACAAACACCATATATAGAATGTAGTGCTAAAACAAAATATGGCGTGAAAGAAGCATTTGCTGAACTTGTTAAGGAGGTTGTTATAATTATAATTATTATAGATTATATTGAATATTTAGATTTTTTAATAATTAATCATACCATCATACTAATAATGATCCTTTAGATTGTTGAAGATCCAAATTTATGGCAAAAAAAAATTGGCCCAACAAATAATAATATATCTTTATATCAGGACAAACAAAAATTAAATAATAATAATAATAATAATAATAATAATAATAATAATGGATATTGTTTATGCTAAAATTGTTTGATTTTTTTAAAAGAAAAAAATATTTTATATATAATTATTAATATTACTATTTCCTACTTTTATTTATATTGTTAATTTAATGTAATTTTATCATTATCATCATCATCATCAACAATCACACACTCATAATCATATATTCTTACCCACTTTTTTATAAAAGTAGGAGAGATCATAGCATTATATAGACAATATTCAAAAACAAAAATTTTATATTCATCATGTTCTTCTCACTTGTTATATAATATATAAATGACTTTAATTTTTCAATCTGTATTTATTTATTTATTTAATAATTATTATTGAATTATATAATACAAATATCATTATCAGATTCAATACATTTCATTATAATTTTTTTTGCTTTTTCATTTTCTCTAATACCAATATAACCTCTTTAATTAAAGATGTATATTTGGCTTTACATTATATGATTTCGCCCAACTTAGCAAAATCCTCTATTGATTATAGTATTGGTTTGATTTTTGGCATATCACCAATTTTAATGAAAATATTGATATGAACATGATCGAATGAGTAAACATCAATTTTTGAATTAATGTCTATATGCTAATTGTCATTGCCATTGTTATTATTCTTATGAAGTTTTTATATAATTCGTATACAATATCTACATTCTTAACTAAATCTAACCAATATATTGCATCTTTAAGAGTTCTTGGAAAAATATTATTATTATTGATATGCTTTAACACTTTATAAGTTGCTCTTTCAGGTTTAATTCCTTCTTTAATCATCTGATCCCAAACTTACCAAGCTTTTTATTTTTAATTAGACTTGTATAAGTTTAACATTTAATTTAATGTTATATTTATTTGTCATTATATTAAAACCTTTTTCTAATTCGTCCAACATACCAGATGTTTCAATTAATATTGTAAATTTTACAACATTTGGCAAAATATTATGTTTCATATACATTTATTGCTATGGGAATATCTTCATATCCATATGTAAATTCTATAATAAATATTGTGAATATATGTGCACTTGGTATAGGGTTGACTATTTTATTATTATCATTGATGTTATTTTTTAGTTTAACTTTTACCACTGTAACTTCTGTTTTTGTTGATTGATTTCTATTTTCTTAAAAAATCCAGATATATTTTATATGACAAATTGAAATCTTTGGGTTGTCTTAATTCAAATTGCAATAGAATAGTTAAAAGTCTTATTTGGTACCATGTTTATATTATATTTGTTACTATTACTATTATTGCTGCTATTATCACAACTATTAATTCATTAAAGAATTTGAACTGTTGACTTCATTCTACATTTAATAAGGTCACAAAATTCTCATAATTTTTCTTTTTATGATTTTTTCTAGCTCACAGCACAATGTCCTGAGTTGTATAATTTTTTCAAAATAAATAAATTTATCACTTAAAAGTTATGGTGGTTTGAATATTAGTAACTTTCTTTTGATAATAGTTTAAGGAAGAAATTTTATTTCCTGAGTTAAAAATGATATTCTAAAATTTGGGTTTTGCTATAGTGGTCGGGTTTAGATGACTCGAGCTGTATATATTAATATCGAAGATTTTTTTTCGCAAAATGATTTGTATAAATTTTGTTCTTGTTCTTGTAAAAGATTTTTTAGAGGGCGATCATCATAAAATTTAGCAAGTCACGACGTGATAAACGAATGTCCATTATTATGCTTAAACAAAATCAATTCGTTGATCCCCACGCAAAAATAAAAATAATTATCACCAATTAAAACACGCTCTCCCAAATTTAATCGGTGACAATAGTAATAGTAACTAAATTTTGATCCCTGAAATTACTGGTAATACCAATGTTCACTTTACCCAATTATTTTTATCTTCTAAATTTAACAACAATTGATTTTCTCATAAACAAGCAAAAAAATGGACTCTACAATAATAGGAAAATATTTTAATGAAAATGAAAGGTTATTAAACACAGAGGATTTTTATGATGTAAAAATATGTGTAGGTGTAGAACCAAACATAAAAGAATTCCATGCACATGCCTCCATCATATGTGCTCATTGTCCATTCTTTAGCATTGCATTAAGTAATGCAACAAAAGAAAATGGTTATTATATTATTCAAAAAGCCAATATTGAAGAAAAACTTTTCAAAAATATCCTCAAGTAAGTTTAAACTAAACTATTATTGTGTTATTTATTATTTTTTATATTGTTTATTAACAATTATTTATTTTTAAAAGATTTTTGTATACATGTAAAATTGAATTAGACAGTTTTAATGGATTTGATATATTAGAAATATTGGTTGCAGCTGATGAACTTGGACTTGAATCACTTTATGAATATACAATGAATTATTTTATTAAAAA